CACATCCTACATAGCAAGTTTCTACTTTACTGTTCAGGGCACTGGTTGTTCTAGTGATTTCCCAGTTCCCCTTTTCAGGCCCAGTTTGTCTTTACCCACTTCCATTTGAGCAGAATAGTTTTTGCAGTCCAAGCAAAAATTTCAAACCACAGAACTATTTTGTTATTTCCTAATCAGCTGCTGACTAAAAGCAGAATATGATGAACTAATCACATAATAAAACCAAGCTGAGGGATTTTTTTCTTAAAGACAAAAAGCTGAGGAAGCAGAAAAAGAAAAGGCTCTGATCTGCTATAGGTTTGTGTTTATAAAACTACCGGTATGTAATGTTTACCTAAAACAGCACTGCAAGGATAGTTGACCTGACATTATCACAAAGGCCAGTCAGTGCAGTCCAGTTAGCCTGTTTAACATGCTGATCATCTTTGCTGATGAAGAGTCTCAGTCATCATAAGCTTTCTAACATTTGAATGACATTTGAATTGAGAAAGATTACTGGACGGGACGAAACGTCTTCAAACCTTGGAAACCAAGTCCAGTGGATTGTTTTTAAACTTTTCCAGAATGCTGATCATCAGAGAGTGTAAAATACTGGGAGGAGAATATAAAATGTAATTACTTGCCATTTCTCAAACCTTAAACAGACTGTGGATGCAGTGTTTGCCTCCTTTGAAAGTCAGGTGCAAAAACATCTGTAATCATTGTGGCGAAGAGGCATTTAAGAGCAGAAATAGAAGGAAGAGAAACAGCAGAAAAACAGTTATTCCACTTCTTCCTCTTTTGTAAGTGTCTTTTCTGTTTGTCTCTTATTCTGTGGAAAGCAACCCTTACTACATCCGCTGCAAATCCATCCATCTCAGTTCAGGAGAATTTGAAATCATTCTTATTAATAAGGTGGAGAAGTTGCTTTCAGTTGCTGGAAATTTAGATTAGTAGATATAGGCTGTGTCCAAACACCCGTCCTAACCCCTAAATCCCTCAATCAATATATAGAGTGGGGACTATATAGTAGAATTTATAGTAAACTCAGTTAACTGACCGTTTGGACAGATGATCACTACTTTTCATTCCCTGTTGGTCACATAACTCCGCGTCCACAAAACGCTGCCTGTGGCATCTTTGTTATTAACTGCTATCGGGTAGCGACAGCGGGACGGTCTGACAGTAAATCCCATAATGCTTTGCGAGCAGAGCTCTCACCGCAAAGCATTCCAGGATATATCTGCTCGTCTAGTGACCATGGATGATCACTTCTTTTCAAGTTGCATTGTGGGAAATTTTGGGTCCAATTCATCCACTAGACATTCAGACACTCATTTAAAAAGGCCTAACCACTATATAGTGCCCAATATAGTGATTAGGGCGGACATCTGGACACAGCCATAGTATATGTGGCAAATCTGTTGTTGGGATAAACTCACTGCAATGTTTTATTGTCCTGTGTCTGGATCGATCAGTATAGCAACAATCTAGTTTGTAACTTCTTCCAGAACTGTCCAGTAATGCGTTTTCTTGCACTTGTCTGTTCGTACATTTTTAATCGCAGTTATAAGATCAAATGGAAAACGTAGCAGCAAGTCTGTCTCTTGAATATGTAAATAACCATAAAAGTATCAAAGTGCAGCACTGCTGAATGGGAAGATTTTCCTTTCCCACAGATGAGTGGACATCTCTTTGCATTAAAAATGGTAGAGTGCGTTACTATGCTTCTCTCTGTATGCTGCTGACTTATAGCAGCTGTCTGCTGAAAACTCACAATCTTTAGTGGCTTCTTTCATCTCTTGGCATCCAAGTCCCACCTTAGATATTATAATCACTGCTTAGAAAAACTAAAGGGTTTGTCTTTAAATTCATTTTGTAGTTATAAAATTGTCTATTTTTTGGAGAACAAATGCTGAAAGAAAATGTTTTTCCCCTCTTAATAAAAGAAAAACTCTAAGTTCCCCTTTTATAAAAGAAATAAGAACCGAAATTCTCCATTAATTAAAAAGAAATGTTTTGTGCATTGCTAGTGTCAGAGAAACATGACGTGGCAAATGTGTCTTTTGGACATTGCTTTAGATCTGAATCAGTTATCTTGACATGTTGTCTAGGCTGAAATGATTCAGATGTTAAAAGCTCCTCCACCGTGTTTCACCTCAGAGTCATTTTATAGGCCACTGAGCCTGATTATTACTATTATTCTCTTCTCAGACCATCAAGGGAGATCCTTTTTCCTCTACACATAATGATCAAGCATACCATCTGTGTGCAGTTCTGCTGCAAATTGTTTCTGCCTTTGGGACGCAGGAAATAAGATCAGGCCCCAAGTCTTGAAAAGGCAAACACATCCACACCTGATTTAAATGTTTGTGACACAGAGCAAACTTCTACAGAACAAATGACACCAAAGGAAAAACAAACAAACATTTTAAATACATTTTATATACAACTGCTCAGAAAGAGCTGATTAATGATTCAATGTTTGAGCCAAGTAATCCTCAATGTTTATGGAGGAAATCCGACACCAAGTCGTCTCCTCGCCAATCTACGTATAGAGGGAACCATCATTCCAACTGTTTTTTTTTTCTGGTAGCAATAATGATGACATTGTCTTATGTTATTAAGAGTGTGAACAATGCAGTTAAGTGAGATGATTATGATCTGAACCTGGGATTATTTCTGTGAATCCAGGTTGAGGAATGTAAACCTCAAACTGTACTAAAACGCTTCAGCTGAGTATTAGATTAACAAACTAGCTGGTTTGAATATCTGATCAGGTTATCCTCTTTCCCACTGAAATTAGCAGGTTAATGTGTTTTTTTTTAAAACATCGGTGGACCCGCTAACAATCTCCATTTGGCTCACTTTCCATTGGCGAGAGAAAACTGGTTCTGACTCCCCGCTGGCAAGCTGCATGGGCTCTGACGCCCACCGCTGTGTATCTGGTGAAAGTAATCAGGGAAGTAAACAACGGAGGGTGACTTGTAGTGAACCAGCGCATAATCCGTTTTCTTAAATGTTTCTTTCTTTTCTCCCTCCAAATGTCTCTCACCAGTACTGCGCCATGTCTATCGAATGTGCGCAGAATTGTTTTTACTTGTTTGATCAGAGGCGACTAGCGCAGTGTGTTAACGTCCGTACTCTGCGCTCAATGGTATCATGTAAATTAGCGTGTCGACCCGGGTCTTACGCTCCAAATATATGCCATCCAATTCAGAGTCAAGCCGTTTGAAGGCTATTTTAACCCGGTTCAAATGCCAAGTGACACGCGTCAGTGAGCTGTTCACACTGCCAATAAAAGCCAATGGTTCCCGGGTTTAAACGGGTTTTTTGGCCAGTGGGAAAGGGGGTTATTTCTCCTCCATAAGCTTTCCAGAAAATAATCACCCAGAGGAATCTCCTGACCAAATCCCAAATCATAATCTCCAAGAAAATGTTGAAGCAGAAAGATGTCTGGGTTTCCCTTCTGTTCCTTATTATAATAAAGGATTACACACAAAAGATTTCTTGATATATACTTTTTTTCTTTTAATTGCATGAAACCTTAAAAACAACAAATGACGAAAAACGAAGAAAATTTTTGCAGCTTCTGATGCAAAGTCTCCAAGCTGTGCTCAGAAGAACAAGGTCATAAAAACACTTCATCCTAAGTCAGTTCTTCTATTGGTAGGTTGAACAGATCACGCATGGATCATCATGTTGGTAAGTGGGACAGAGTATTAAAAACACACTCATCAGACAATCAAAACTAGCTTACATATTTAGAAATAAAAAGTGCTTTAAAATGAAGACCTATAAATGTACTGAAGCTGTTTCTCTGCATTTCATGGAAGATACAGTTTGAGCATCAAACTTAGACTGTAGGAAAAAAGACAACCTTTTTTTCCAGCTGTCTGATCTTTAATCAGACCTAATTTTCCAGGTTTACACGTATTATGTAAATATTAATCATTTTCCTTTTTAAAAGCCTGAAATTTGCAGCCACTGTGATTGCTTTACTTTGCTTTTAAAGGGGTCATAGAATGCCAAACCGAGTTTACATCGTCATAGATGATTAACGATAGTTCAGTGGGTGAAATGGACCCGTCACCCGCTGGCTCCCTCCCCCTGTCGCCTGGAGTTCCCGGACCAGTCCCGGAGCTGACTGCTCGGTTCTGCTGCGCTGTAGTCGACCAAAATCCCAGATGATTTTGATATTCCCCCGACTTTTTTTGGGGGGGGGGGTATGAAAAGTAGGATATGTCCACGAAAAAGACGTCTGGTCACCCTACCATTTCAACAATTTCGATGTTTCAGTGAGTGAGTGCTTGTTGCTATGATGCGTCTTTGCTCAGCAGCTTCACTCGTTGTAAACCAACCAATCAGCACACAGCTCATCTAAATATTAATGATCATACCATAAAAGGAAGAAAACCTGTTGTTTCATTCTAGGGCTTTTAACCAGGCTTGCATTAGGGCTTACAGAATAGAAAATATACAATTTTCAGCCCAACCAATGTTACACACCCTATTCAGAGACATTTAGAACCAGCACTAAAACCCTATAGAATCATTCTATGACCCCTTTAAGAGTAAATGGAGATCCAGGAGAAGAAGTCTTGGTTTTGCACAGTTCTGATTCCACAATTCACATCATTTTAAGTGGAAGAAAACACCTGTTGGACACTCTTAGGAGCCCCATTTATCTGTTCAACAGTCAATGAAACCCCGCTGATTTCCAGCTGTTATACAGTCCAGGAAAGAAACACTCCATGTCCCAGTGTGCAGTGAGCCAAAGAACAAAAAAACTTCTAAATAGTCCAAGAAGAAGCAGGCTGGAGCTGGTAGGAGTCATAGGCTGAATGGAGGTACCTAAAGTTTTCAAATGCACTCAGGATCAAGGTCTTCGGCTTGGTAAAATCCTCCCTGAGGTCAGAGGAAACTAAAACTCAATCATAATGACCAGAAGACTGAGAATAATGTCCTAAATGCCAAGCGGGAGGTGGAAGCACCATGTTTTTTGCTGGTAGCCTTTTTTAAAATGGACGTTGGCCAAAAAGCTGAAACTCGGCTGTCTTCCAAAGCCAAATTCGGAGCTTCCATTACCAGGTTCTGGTCTCAGAACTTGCACAGCAGGTTTGAGCTCGGCAGCTTACCAAACTGGCCCAGTTACACCAGTTCTGTCAGGAGGAATGAGCTCCAGCAATCTATGAAGAGAAGCTTGTGGACGAAACCCACATCCCACAGCAGTTCTACCACAGACTGAGAAATTATAATGAAACATCTGAGTGTGAAGAATATACAGAAAAAATATTTCATTCATTTTCTTCAGCTTGTGAGAAGATATATTTAAAAAAAACAAAACATTTTTTTGAAACCAGAAAACAATGCAAATCATTTGATGCTTAAAAAAAGTTGAACTTTAATCAGATCCTCAGGATATAAGAAATCTAGGGATCAAAGCCGCGTCCTGATGCCCAGTGTGTGTGAGTTCTCTTGCTTCTGTACATGGTGGGACTCCTGTGCCCAGATTCATTGGGGGGCCTCCACAGCAGTTTGTTTCAGTTCAGAACACCAGTCTGCTGATAGTGTTGAAGCCTCCCCCACCTCCTCCCCCTCCTCCAGATGGGCCACAGCTCCCTGGTGGGTTGTTGTCATCTGAGCCGTTTGGTCGGAAGGAGCATGAAGAGGAGGCGGCCTGCAGAGCTTGGGTCCGAGCGCTGAGCTCCTGCTCCTGTTAGAGACAAAAATCAGATCAAATCTAAAAAGCACCAAGTTGTTCAGAAGTGGCTCCAAAGCACAAAGCTTTTTTACTGCGTCCTCTAGAGGAGAACCACTGAAGGTATTTACCCGAGTGAGAGGGAGTTTCAGTCTAACGCCTCACAGCTCAGCGATGTGTGAAATTACACCTCACGTCTTTAAACAGAACGGCTTGACTCAGAGTCCCAGATTAGGGCTGCAACTAACGATCATTT